ATGAAGTGCAAGATTTTTTTTTTTATTTTTTTTTTTTAGTTTGTTTTAATTTGATTCCTTTTGAAGTAGGGCAAAAAACACTGACTAGTTGAGTTTTGGTGGTGGTGGATTTTATTATTTTTTTTTTTTTTTAATTATTGTTCTCCTGAGTAGCAGTATAGTGTTACTTGCAAGGCTCAGAAAAGTGTATTTAGAAAGTCTTATCTAGATTGTTGCTTTTCCTTATGAAGTTTTCACTGTTAAACATATATTTTGCTATTACATATTTTCTATTTCAAATGCCTTATTTTAGTTATTTGTATATATTTTTTTCAGTAATGTTAGAATTATTAAAAATGTGTTAATGTTGGCTATGTGGTAGCAGACTAAGGGTCCAGGAAATGTTGAAAAAATATTTCCAATGTTATTTGCACACACAGGAAGTTTTTTGATATAACAATATATGACATATAAGAAAATGGAGTGTTATCACTTTACATATTTCCTAGTAAGGATGTTAGATGATCATAGAATCACAGAATGGCTTGAGTCGAAGGGATCTGAAGGATCATCAAGCTCCAACCACCCTGCTGCAGGCAGGGCTGCCAATCTTCATATCTAATACTAGACCAGGCTGCTCAGAGCCCCATCCATTCTATCCTTGAACACCTTCAGATGATGTATTTGTACCATCATTTACTGGTGTCTTTTATTCAACCGAGTCTTCTACTGTTCTGTTTTTTAATAGTTTCATGCAGTTTGGGAAAACACAGGTTCATGAAATGTGAATTTTCTCAGTAATTACTAAGTCAGGTGCATTAGCTTGTTGTTGGCAAGATTTTTTTACAATGTGGTTATAAGTTTAAAAAACTGTTATGAATTTTCTAATGAATTGATAATTTTTATTAGGAAAGTTTCTGTACGTAGCCTTAAGAATGTGGATTTGCATTAGACATTATTGCAATCTTAAGCAGCTAATCTGAGTTCCTGAGTGACAAGGCTACTCAATAGCCAGTACGAGAGTTGAATTTAACTAAATCTAGCAGTTGCAGCTTTAGATTTAACAGGCATTGAATAGCATTCAGCTGCTAATTAATTTACAGTCCTGGTCCAGCTTTCACCAAAATAAGCAGAGTTTTTCTATCAACATCACATTGAAGTGGATGAGGACATTCACACTTTCTAAATAGGATAATAAAGCTTTTGTATATGCCCAGTAGAGTTTAAAAGCTTAAACATATTGTCACATAAAGCGTTAAATAAGTCCAATCTGCCTAAGGGTCAGATTAAATAGTAGGATTGGTACACCTTATGTAAGTATATATCAGGAAAAAGAGAGGTTTAAAATTAAAAAAAAAAAAAGAATTTTTAAAAAGAGGACCATACGTAAACATCCCTAGTAATGTCACTTCTGTGCGTGTATGTTTTCTGAGTTTGTTTCTGCAGGGAAATAATTATTTTTCTTTAGTTAAATCTAAAGTACTTCAATAACACCCCAGCAAACTTCCATTTTGCTTTTATTATAATTGGATTTATGTCAAGGAAAAGCATGAGGACTGGGGAAGGTAATGTGAAATTTCTACTAATTAAACTGACAAAGGCCTTATTTCCTTTTTGGAATGAGAGATTAAAGTATTGTGGCAGCAGTGAGCATCAAAAAAAACATACAATCTGTGGGATTCTATAGAAATTCTATTTGTAACTGATTTTTATTCTTGTTTAAAAGTGCTTGAAATACAACTCGGTGTTCCTAAATGTCATACGTAAGGTTTAGTAGTAATTAAATGGTGTAGCTACCAAAAAGTGCTATTCTCGGTTACATTTATCTTCTGAGAACAGTACGGTTGTGCAATAAACGGTACAATTCTGAAAGGCAAATCTGTGCATTTCTAGGATATTAATAATGCTTACAGAATAAACATAGAAGCTACTGTTTACTGGATAATTTATTCAATTAAGCAGTTGTTCCATCTTCCAGTTAAGTGATTTCCAATTAAAAAGTTGTCCTATTTAGACACTATAATAAATTATAAATTAAAAATTTGTAAACTTAGAATTTTATTTTTCAAACACTTAAGGTTTATCGTAAAATAAAATGCAGTTGAAAATATTACATCTATTTCTAATTGATGTGCATTATTTGTAACCATGCTGTTTTGTCCCTCACCTGATCTGAAACTTATTGTACAGGTATTATAGTTATAAATTCTTGGACATCCAAAATCATAACACCAAACACATACAGGTGTTGTTTTTATATTGTTTTGGTATTTGTAGAATCTCACTCTGGTCTCAATTATTTGCTAGAAATACATTTTATACCACTTTGGATTTCTCTCTCTTTGAAATCGCATTCGTCCTCTCCTTTTTCTTCTTTATTTTTTAATATTATGCCTGGAAGAATTTAAGTATGGGCACTGTTTGTAATGTAATTCACTGTGTAAATACATTCCTTTGATCTGGAAAAATGCGCTTCACAGACAGTAATTGCTCATCGCATTCTTTCACAGAATCACAGAATCACAGTATGGCCAGGGTTGGAAGAGCACTCAAGGATCATGAATCTCCAATCCCCCTGACATATGCAGGGCCACAAATCTCCACTTTTAATGCTAAACCAGGCTGCCCAGGGCCCCATCCAACCTGGCCTGGAACACCTCCAGGGACGGGGCATGAAGGGGATGAAGAATCAATTTATCTCAGTTTTATCAGTAAGACCTGATGTAGCCATTGAATATTCTACAAGAATGCCCAAGGGAAAAGATAGTTTTAAGTTTTCCCAGACCAAGCTTTGCAAAAATTTTTACCTCTTTATGAAAACTGGCCTTGTATTTTGCACTTGTTCCTTATGAAGGGCCTAGGCCACAATGATTGAACAGGCTCCTTCAAAATATTTTTACTGAAAATTGCAGTAAGAATTCAGGCTTCACAGGCAAAAAAAAAAAAGAAAAAAAAGAAAAAAGAAAAAAAATCAGAAAAAAATTTGATCATTCTGCAGTTCAGGGATCGAGATGTAAATAGACATCACTACTTTTAAGTGAGCATTCCAGAAAAGAAACATTTTTAATGCCAGAATTTTATTGTCACTTCATTTCCACTGTATCAATGGCGTTTTGATTCAGTAATCTGTGAAATGAAACAAACAAAATTGAAAAATGCAGATAAAGACCATTCAGTCAGATACTGTGATATCACAAAAAAATAATAAGATTTGATAAATGATGCCCATGGGAAGAGTATTAATACATACCTTTGTCCTTTCCTCCACAAACAAAAAATCTTTTGCTTAATGTGAGTAGTGTTTTCAGTCTGTGTAAGGTTACTTCATTCTTTCTAATGGCAGGCACCCATTAAATAAATGAAATACTTTCCCACAAATTTTATTTTGATATGACTGCATTTTCACCAAGAATAATGTCACCATACATTGCTGTGACAAGAAAGAAGCAGTAGCTTCTTCCCTGTAGCTCCTGGTACCTTCTTCGTATCGGCTACCTAGATTTCCAGCTACCTAATAATTCATGTCTAAGAAAACCAAACACCCTGAAATTTGTATCTTCTGATGTTTCAGAGACGGTGCTGAATGGAAAAGTTGACTGACCAAGTGACAATCCGTCATCCTCTATGTAATTCTAAACCATTTGTGATGCACACCGTCAGAGATGCCATGCTGGCCTCTCATCTACTATGAAAATTGTATTTTGCACAATTTTCTTTTTAATGGAAATTGAAATTATTTAATTATACATACTGTTTTTCAAATGTTGTTTCTCTTTCTGTGAAATTGAAATTTGTATAACTAGGGAAAAAATATTTTCGTAAGTACCAAGAATCAAAATGTTAATGATATGAAAAATTAAGTGTTTTCCTCTTATGTGATAAGTCAAGGCAAACTATGCAAAATCAAGTGAAATCAGTAAATTCTTCTATATTGGCTGCTGTGTTGCGTGCTGATGAGCTAAACCAGTGGTCCATTCTTTTTTGTGTGTGTGGCAGCTCAAAGAAATGTGATGCAATAGAAATTACAGAACTCATTCACAAGGGACTTCCCTGCATCTGAGCAAGAGGTTGACTTTTGTTTGAAGGCAATATGGTGTAACCATACAGGTTTCTTAGTAACAAAACTGTGGCTCTGATTAATTCCCAGATTGAGGTCTGATCCTGTTCTAAAATGTGACTAAGTGGTTCTTCATGTAGTCAGGGAAATACGAATGGCAGGCTTTCGTCATTTGGTCAGACAGTGCAACCTATGCCTAATGCTGGCAGGCATCATCTCTTGAGATCTCTCCTCCCAAAGGACCCTGCAGGCAAATAGTATTGTGCTGTGTAAAAGGCATCAGTCATCCCACACTGGGTGTGATGACTTTGAATCCAGAGCTCCCCAAATGCTTTTTCACTATATAGCTGCATAACTCACTCACTATTCCTGTGAATGTTCCTTTTGCATCTCAAAGGAAGAAGGTGGAGAAACAAATTTGGAGCTAACCTTTTGTGTACTAGCAGGCAGTGACATCTCATAAGGGGCTCAATGTCTATGAATGTTTGATGGTGATTTCTCTGTTCTATGCCTACATGGATTTTAATATCTTGTTTAAAATAACAAAATTGTGTGCTTAATTAGAAAAAGAAGTGAGATAAATGAACAAATTAAATCTTTGAACATTATTTTTTCAGAATAATACTGTGGCACAGTTGTAAGTACATGCATGGAATTACTTTTCTTCTGGCACAGAAATTAAAAAGTAAACTTGCGTTCATACAAATGGTGCAGACTCAAGTTCATACATAAAAATACACATTTTCTTTGGGGAAAATAGTATCCTTTTGTCTTTTGGCAATCATTTCTGAATCAAATTATGTATATTACCCATGAAGTTTACATTTTTCCTCTCATGTGATGCGTGAAAAATTATGGGATGAAAAGTTACAATGTAATTTTTTAAAATTTTATTAAATATTAATAAATTTTAATATATTAAAAAGCCAAGATTACATTTGCTTTTTCTTCTTTATTCCCACAGGCACAACGGCTAACAGATCTGGAACAGAAACTAGCAGCTGCAAAAGATGAATTGGAAAAGGCAGCCCTTGACAAGGTAAGAAGTGTGACATGATGCAAGCGTGTTTATTAGCTGTGAATGTTTGTACATAGCTTGACAAAAACAAGTGAAAATATTGCAGAAGTTTAGGTATGTGTTTAACAGCATACACTCGGCTTAAGTCAGTGGAAATAATCATGTTGTGTGATGTTAAATAAAGCTGCAGATTTTTTAAGAAGATGTCAACTGTTTATGGGCTGGCTTGGCCCAGTTCCGTGACCAGTGGGATGGAGGGATCTGCGGATCCACGCCTCCAGGAAAATAAAAAGATACAGGAGACCCCAAAATAATTAAAAACAGCGGCAACGATCTGAGGAGAAACAAACTAATTTACTAAATACAGTATCGGAATGCAAGATAACACACTATAATACAATATAATTAGAATTGAAGCTAATAAATCAAATATAATGAGAGAGAGAGAGAGAGAGAGAGAGAGAGAGAGAGAATGTCCGAAAGGTGGATATCTCACCATAAAGCTGAGACACACAGTCCAATTGAGCAGCAGGGAGACGGGCAGCACCCACAATGAAGAGCAGACGAAAAAGAGTGCATCAGGTGACCTTGCCAGGAGTTATATCTCCTCTCCGTGGCTGCAAAATCCCCTGGGGAATGTAGTTCTTCTCTTCTGGGCAGGTACCCAGGACTTGAGCTTAAAACCATGACAGAAGAGAAAAATCAGGTTGAAAAGGTCTCAGAGGCTTCTAAAGAACTATTCCCTTTTCACTAAAGTATTTTTCTGGTTGTCAGTACCACAGTAACTGAGGATTTACCTCCAAAATTTCTTCAACTTAAACAGTAATCACAGAAGCATTATCCAAACCTGTGTGGATTGCTGGCCATGTAGTAGTTGTTTCTTGCAAGTACATTCAAGTGACCTGCTCCTCATATTAATTGGGTAATCGTGTTCACTTTGCACATGCGTACACACTCACAGGCATGCTCTCTCACTGGTGCCAGTTGCTGTCTAGTGCAATGACAAGGGGAGAATACTTGGCAAAAAAGTCTTCTAAATGTACCCTTTCATTATAACGTGGACAGCTGTGAAGGAGAAAGCAAAAAGCATTTGACATCAGGAATTTCTAATGAGTAGTAAACCAGTCTGCAAATTAAATGGGGGCTTGCAGCATGCTCAACTGACTTCTCTGACCCTGTGTTTCTTTCCTAGTAAACATTATGGAATTTTAATTTATGCTAGGTTATAATTCTTCAGGTTTTTTCCAGAGGACTGGCATCATCTTCTGGTAAATTACCGTTGAGAAAATCCATGGATGGCATCAATAGTTCATTTGGTTTAGGGGGCATGGTGGTGATGGAATGAGTTGAAGGTTGAACTCAATAATCTTACTGGTCTTTTCCAAGGTTTATGATTCTGTGATGAGAAAGAGGCATGGAAATAGAGAATGAAAAGTGCAAAGCTCATAAATGTGGAATTGTGAAAAAGCTCTTTGAGATGCAGTGCCCATGCTTATTCTCACTGCAGAATAGTAAGATCATTTAAGTTTTCAAATACCTTTTCTGCCCTAGTAAAGAATTTTTCTCTGTGAACTAAAAACAGTTGGAGATCAGTGCAGTGAAGACATTGACGAAGTTAGCATGTTCAGTAGGAATGGGGTTGATGTAGACAGAACAGTGTTTTTTCAGAACATGAGCTGTACTGGAAAAGATTAATTGAGTAATCGAGTCTCAAAATGTGACTATAAATTGGCATAGAACTGTATTGTACTTTTGGGAGGGTATGAAACTTCTGTTTTTAATATTTGCTGTAAGTATTGTTTGTGCAGACAGAAGATTTAATGTCTCACATTTGTGTATTCGCACTGCAGTGTTTTTCTAACTCCCATGATGGGATCCTGAGAAGCCTGACATTTTTTGTTTTGCTACAGCCCCATTTGTTCTATACTAAGTCCAACTCTGTCTCGTCTCAAAAGTATAAGGAGGAAAACATAAAGACATGCATATCATCTTGACAGTATTTATGACTGGCCGTAGCCATAGCAAAGCAAGCATTGAAGGACAGGAGAGGGGGGTGAAAGGATAAGTAATTATCTGGAGGAAATTATCTGGAGATAAATTTCTGAGGACCAGCACCTCTACCTTAACTTCTTCCTGGGGTCAAGAGTCTACTTATCTCTGGAAGATTCTGGAAGAGCCTTTTTTATAAAAGCTTCCCTATAACAGTAGTAGGGAAGTACTCCCTACTAAATGTTTGCTGATTTTTCTCAGAGCCTCTCAATTATAAGATACATTCCCTATTCGAATTTAGTGGAGGTTTATCTGACATAAAACATAGGATCTAACAATACTTATTTAGCAAGTAAACTAAAACAAGCTTTTGTGTATCGTATCTCATTCTTCATGATTCATATTTGTGAAATATTTTTAACGTTGTATACATAATATTTGAAAAATGTAGCATGCACTATTTTACATATGCATGTATTTCCCATCAGCTTTAGTCATGATATGCCTCAGAGTCCTTCAAAAAAATCTTTAAAGGCCGAAATGTGTGGTTGTATTATGTGTTTATAGGTAGATTTTTAATACCAAGAACAAAAGCAAGATTTTTTTTAAGGCCAAATGCTGTTTAACTCCCCCTGAGACAAGTGTGATGAAGGCAATAAATAATATTTGATTCTCCAAACGACTTGCAGTGATTGAACAAAGATTTTAAAATGGGACCTCCTCAGTGAGTAGTTATCTCACTGCTCTTATTGCCTCAACTTTGTTCAGTGTCAGACTGCTGCTTTCAGGAGTACCTCTTTATTTATGAGTAAAACAGCAGTATTATGGCTCAAGCTACAGACACTATCATGTAATTATGAGAACAATTCACCAATTAAAAGGTGTAGATTGGCTTAAAGTACAGTAATGGATGTGGACAAATCACAGCCTTAACAGGTGGGAAGTCCTGCTATACAGCACAAAAGCATAATAGGCACATGTATATACATGAGTGTAGTTATCCTTCTGTGGGATTAAAATCAGTCTTTATAATGTAGAAAAATACTAATTAACCTGAACATTATAGGCAAAATTCCATGCATAGTCTATGTCTTTGCTGTACTTGCAAGTGTCTACTTCTCTCTACTAAATATTATATGTAAAAATCTGGACATGATGAGATTTGGTAGGTAGTATATTTGTTCCTTTAATGATAAAATAGAATTCAGTAAGTATTTGCAATAACCAATATAGATAAAATTCAGAGATAAAAGGGAACAATGCAAGACCTTTTTAGATATTTTGGTGTATAGTGCACAGTAACTTAATATAAAAAACACATAATTCTGCTAGTAGTAATGGAAAGAAATAGCAGCTGTTATTTGTAAATGTTAGCCTTAATACAAAAAGATAAAGCAAGTCGCTCCATTCATAATTACACATCTCAGAGAAGTGATGTTTTCTTGTTTTCCCCAGGATTCACAGCTGAAAGCTCTCAAGGACACTGTGAAGTTTTGCCTGTCCTCCGTTCTGCGCAATCAACCTACTGCTATGCATCGAATCCCTTCAAAACCAACAGAGAAGCTGACATCCTCAGCTACAGAGGGCTCAAAAGTTCAATTTCCAGTAATAAGCACCAAGGTATTGTATCTCCCTCACTCTTTTTTTTCAAGTATCTGTGAGAGTTTGTCCTGTAAGAGCATCAAACTGGAACTAAGAAGGATTCAAAATTCATTGCAAGATTAGGATGAATTTTAAGCCAATTCTAATAATTCTAAGCCAAATTTTGGTATCAGTAAAGTTTCACAGTGTTGGGAAATGAGTACTTTTATTTGCTGAGAAGCAAAATTCCATCTATTGCTTGCTAAATGAGCTGTGTCTGCATAACAAATCTACAAGGAAGATGGATTTACATCTAAAACAAGCAAGAATGGAAATTCATGGGATTATTTACCTGCCAGGCACTGATAACGTGTTTGTGGTACTACAGCACTGAACAGTGAGGCACTTTTTGTTTTTCACAAAAAAAGCCATGACAAAGCCAATATAGAAGAGTAAAGCAGGTTGGTATGTTCAAACAGAATTTGGCGAAAGGGCTGCAATAATAGGCCAGGGAATATTTGATTTGCAGAATACATCCAGGAAATAGGAACAACAGTTCAGGAGTAAATATGATTAAAGAACTGGTTTCTAAAGCATTCTGATTCTATAAGTGAAAGCATTTTATCACAGTTGAGATATACAGTGATAGACGGATATTCAGATAATTTCCATCTCCAGGGTTGCATTTTGCTCATCTATTCATGTGATTCAGTACATTTAGACTGAGTCTAAGGAAGAAAATTTTACAGCAGGATGGTGGAGCATTTGTTTCATTTTTCCCTTAAATTCTACAACTCTTTCGTGAAATATAAAAAGAGATTGCCAACTCATAGTCAGTTTGTAATTTTTTATAGTAGCTGTTGATATGCACCATTAGTACAGAGATTGAAGCCAAAAATCAGGAATCTTTCTCTATGTAATTAAAACTGAAATGTAATGTCAGAAAGTTGAATATGATTATAAAGCTGGATCTCATGTTGCTTCTCTTACCATATTGATTGTAGGTTCCTTAACTATTTCAAAGTGAGAAGTCTTCACTTCGTAAACCATTACCTCCAGAAAGAAACCAGCTTATTATTTAGTAACAGCCCATGAGGATATTAGACCTCACTTAGATTAAAACAACTGGTTCTCCATTCTGAAGAAGGATGGACTCAAGGATATGCAGACTGAGATTTCAGGAGCATGTAGTCCCTGGCACAGCAAAGGAATACACGTAGAGTTTGGAACAGAATTTATGACATTTGATTGAAAAACAAAATTATCTCCATTCTTTTTCCAGTCAATAATCAAATTGATTTTGTGTTTAATGTTCCAGTTTATTAAATATAGCAATATTTCTATGTAGCAGTCTGAGTTCTTTGTATCACAAGAGTGCTTGAATAACTTATGCTCCCGCTTTAATAGACATTGTTCACATTTCTCTGCACATGGCATATGCCATGAAAACATCTGCAAAAATGATGGTTCTGAGTCCTGCTATTCCTCACACTGACACCTCATTATTATAAATCTGTGCATTATCTGTGATTATAAAACCACTGAAATCTGCTACTGTAAAATAGGTTGTCAAGTCAGCATAGCCAGTCCAGAATGTCTGCATTCAAGCCTTATTATGGAAGGCATTTTTCTTATTTTTTTTAAAAGAATAATATCCATTCTCATGTATCTTTTCCTTGTTGTTTTTTTTTTTTAATCTTGCAGACTAAGTCAATCTAACTACATTGTTCTAACTACAGACAGTGTTCTTTCTCTATCACATTTGCATAAATATTTTAATATACCAGGCTCGTATTCTGGTAAGTGTAATTGTGTTTGATTATTTTTCCTACGTGAAAATGAGAAATTCATATGAGCATCTCGTAACTGAGATGCAGTTGAACTTTGAGGAAAGAAATTATCAGTTGTCTGGTAAATACCTTCTAAGATATTCTCATCCTACATAAGAAGTTTATTCTAAAATAGTCACATTTATTTTAAATCCATGGAAGTGTATGACATCTGCATTACTTAGATATGCAATCATCTGTGAGGTTGGGGCACTTCTCACTAAAAACAGTGGCAATAAGAAGGTTGTATTTTTGTATTGAGAGCTGGAAATCACAAAATGAGTGCTTGCTAGAGAAGATGTTTAAGATAAGAACATGATGCAGAAAGGATAATTAGGAAAATAAATTTCCAAATTTCTTGCGAAGGTTCATAATAAAGATTTGATTTGCTAAAGTGTCTTTTTTTTCTTTCAAGAGACTGTAAGATAAACGCATAGAGATTCAAAAATTAGTGCATAAATGCACATAAATCACTAAAATCAAAAGTTTAGTTCCCTTGAATTGATTAATAGTAGTGCATTTTGCTACACCTTACCATGTACGATTTACAAAAATATAGAGAGAAGGCACTAATATTTCAGACAAAACCCATTTTACCTATCCTGTAGCCATCATAACACAGATTTCACTCGTGAAAGCAGTTCCCAAAGGCTGTCTGCATGCGAATTCATTGACACTAACATCTCAAAGGAAACCCCACAAAGGAAAAAACTAAGAAAGGTGGTCATTAATCCTGAACTATGAGGTCTTGATCTTTCTAGATTGTTGACAATTCTTTGTATTCCATAGTTTCTTTTCACACCATAATGTCCCAGCTAGTAACTTTCTGTCTCCTGGAAGTGGAGAATGCTCCCAAGTGAGTTTGGAGTTGCCAAATGCAACAGCTGCAGCTGCAACTGTCTTGTGTCATCCCTGTGACACACTGGGGAGAAGGAAGAGGGCTAGAAATCTTTGAAAGGAAGATTTCTGATCTCTAGATGACCGCCTAAGGACTCAAAGCTTTACAGCCATTTAGGTACATCTAGGTAGATTATCATTAATGTATGAAAATCAACTAGGCTACCTGCTGTGGGGAACATGGGTTGGGATCATCTGTGAATCAGAGTACTGGTATTGACATCCAATTGAGGCCTCTTCTGTACTAACTGTAGCTTGGCATATGGAACAACTCTGATGTTTTAGATGTGTTTTCAAGTATATGGATTCACTAGGTGGAATGCTTTCTTACTCAATTTGTTCTAATTTTCCTTTCTGGAAAAGGGTAGCATTACACTTAAATTAATACATTTTTTATAATGATGGCTATCATTCAAATATCTTTGGCTCTTTGGCTGTGCAGTGTAAATATACCTGTGCCCTAAATGCAAAGACCTGTGCCCTAAATGCAAAGAAAAAATGAGCTTGAGTCATTCAGAATATTAATGAAAATGAAGCAGAAAAACAGCTTCTATTTGCAGTAGCAGGGTTGAATACATAAATAATGGGCAGTGCAATTAAAAGAATAGCGGAATAATGGCAACTAGTTTGCTCTAGGGTGTTTTTGTCTAACATTGTTTTACATATTCCCCACATAAATTCCTTCATAAATGCCCTGTGGTTTTGTGTGTTTTGTGGACTGCAGTGTTCTAGGAGTAAAAATAGCCAAGAATTTCAAACTGTGAAGAAGAAAATAACAGCCCCCTAGTCCCCTACTGCACATGGCTGGAATGAAAGACCACCAACAAACACCATGTGTGTCCAAGTTCTGATAGAGGAAACAGACTGAAGAATGAGAACTGCCCTTCTGTAGAAATGTAGGGGAACTATCATTCCGATGTTGCATTTGTGAATATATTTTGAATAGATTTAAAAATCTACAAGTTACATTTTCCTGGTAGTAACTGCTGCAAGAGCTGTTGCCTCTGCTTCTATTGCTGTGACTATTATAGGTACCAGTATACACTGATCAATGTAAAAAATCCAGAAAAGTAGGAAGTGTGGTGGCCCATCTTTCTTTCATCTAGAAATAATCATGCCCAATCAAAATGAGATCAGGTAATGTTATATCAGTATTAAGCCCACAGAAGTGTTCTTGTGGGGTGCAAAGGAATGAGAGCTTGTGAAACTCTTCAGAGAAGGTACAGGTCTGAAAATGTGGTCACTCTGAAAAGCATTTTGGAATGGTCATGTAGTAACTCAAGAACATGATTTATTGTGTTAGTATGTCTTAGTATTCAGGTTAAACATAAGCTTACTGTTAGTTTGAGAGCATAGATACTGAGCCTCTACTGCAAATACTGAGCAAGGTTACTGAAAGCAGAAGATGATGTTACTGCCTGTGCTTCTTTACAAATTTTATCTGGGTTTTAGATTTTCCTTTGTGAGGGATTTTTTTGGTAATTGTTTCTTTGTTCTGTTGCTGGTTGTATTGGTGTTTGTTTTTTTTTGTTTTTTGTAGTTGTTGAGTTTTTGTATTTGTGGATGTCATTTTTTTAATCTAGAAATGATCTATTTGTGAAATCACAATATTTATTAGGCTATAGGACTTATTTCATTCTACAAAGGTAGAAACGATTGATAGAATGATTCTCTATGAAATAATAAGTAGTTAAATATTTGTACTGAATACCAGTTATAGAAAAATCTCATATCATATCATTGATAATACTATATAATGATAACTGACTAGAAATGTAGAAAGAACTTATGATTACATGCTTACATTTCTTCAAATGCAGAAATATTTTGAAAGAATAAAGATGGATTAGGAATGTGTAAGTTGGGTCCAGCCCATGTTTTTGAAGACAGAACAGAAAATTTTTTAGTCATTTTAAATTACTATATATTACAGCCTAGAAAACTGATATAATACCTTCAGATTCATGAAAAATTAGCCAGCTGAATATGGAAATATAATATATTTTGCTGTAGGTCAAGAAAGAAACTGTATTCTCCTGGATGAGGAGCTACAAGATATGGTTTACTAGCTTGTGGTAGCAATGGTAATGGGTGGACTAAATGATCTTTTAGGTTCTTTGCAACCTTGAGATTCTATGATTCTATGAAGTTAAATGAGAACAAATTACACAAGAAAGTAGTCTGTTTTCTGAAATTAAAGCTATTACCAATCTGTTCGTTTATCATGATATTCCAGTTTAAATGAAGGTTCAGACCTTGAAAAAAAAACAAACTTGCATATTCATTGCTCAAGAATATGAAACAACAATAATA